TCACGTGCTCGACGAGCGTTCGCAGAGGACCGCTCAATGCAGCACGCTGAGGAGCAGCGCTGTTCCCTGCCGCAGGCTGAGGAGCACCGCTGTTCAATGCAGCAGGGTCAGGAGCACCGCCGCAAGACCGAGAATTATCAGCATGTCCTGGCATTAAGGTGTGCAGTAGGCGCTGCGCAGTTCCTTTGAAAGGAAATCTTCGAAAGCAGGGCTGTAGCCAAGAAGGCTACGGGGACGGTGATGAGGATGAAGATGAGTTTTGGAAGTTTGGGAAGTGGAAGAGCACGAAATGGCGTACAGTTGGCTCCGGGCATTCAAAATGTGGCCCGGGAGTGGAGTTCTCGGAAGTGGAAGAGAACGAAGTGGCCTACAGTTGGCTCCGGGCATTCAAAATGTGGCCCGGGAATAGTGTTCTGGGAAATCCAAGAGCACGAAGTGGCCTACAGTTGGCTCCGGGCATCCAAAATGTAGCCCGGGAATGGAGTTCTGGGAAGTCGAAGAGCACGAAGTGACCTACAGTTGGTTCCGGGCATCCAAAATGTGGCCCGGGAATGGAGTTCTGGGAAGTCGAAGAGCACGAAGTGGCTTACAGTTGGTTCCGGGCCTTCAAAATGTGGCCCGGGAATGGAGTTCTGGGAGGCCGAAGAGCACGAAGTGTGCGACTGTTTGCTTAAAACGAGCCCGGCCCTCGCCTGTCCGGCTCCCTCCCAGACCCCCCTTGGGGAGTCATCAGATGCTCTCTTTTGACCACATTAGAAACCTATCAGTCTTCGCTGTTAGGTAAAAACCATTAGAAAATCAATGACATTCCAAGTTTCGAGCGCCTCTTCCAAATGACTTTCTGGCCATGTTCGGGCGTCCAGCGGGGGTCTGGGCCGCTTGATGCCATCTTCGATCGTTTGGGGAGTCTCTTGGGTCTTGCGCAGGTTATTTTGCAATCCTCTGGGGCCAGTTACGGGGCCCCCTTTGGGCAGTTTGGGGGTCGTCTTGAGCTCTCATGTGGCCGTCTTAGGGTGACAAGAAGCGCGCTTTTGGTTCGTCTTGGAGCGCATTTTGGTACCTTTCCAGCGTTCTCGGACGCTTGGAGGCCCGAGTGAAAGAGCATCCGAAAATCATACGAAAAACTATAGAAAATCAATGTTTTTCAAAGATTCGAACGCTTCTTCCAGGTGACATTCGGGCCGTCTTCGGGCGTCCAGCGGGGTCTGAGCCGTCCGATGCCGTCTTCGATCGTTTTGGGAGTCTCTTGGGCCTTGTGCCGGTTGTTTTGCAGTCGTTTCGGGCCAGACATGGGGCCGCTTGCGGGCAGTTTGGCGGCCGTCTTGGGCCTTCATGTGACCGTGTTGGGGTGTCTAGAGGCCCGCTTGCGCCGTCTCGGAGCGGACCACAATGGTTCCCCAGCGTTCTCGGACGCTTGGAGGCCCGAGTGAGCGAGCATCCGAACATCGAACGAAAAACAGTGCAAAATCAATAGATTCCAAGGATCGAACGCCTCGTGGGGGTGACATTCGAGCCGTCTTAGGGCGTCTGGCGGGGGCCAAGGGCAACGCGAAACCATGTTCGACCGCCTTGGGCGTCTCACAGGCCTTGCGCCGACCGTCTTGAGACTGCCACCCGCCTGCGTGCAGGCCGTGGCAGGGATTGCTAGACCGCCCCCCGGCGCGGGCGTCTGGCCTTCCCGAAAAAGTCCCGGATTCGCTCGGGGGGGCGGGGGGGGAGTCTTTTTCCGGTGTCCCCGGCCGTAGAACAATTCATGATTATGTGAATATCGAAATGTATACATATATATATATATATATATGTGTCGAGTGGCCAAATTATTGTGCAAGACCACTCCAGAGTTAGGGCGTTCCACTAACCAGTTCGGGGGGGACGATGCAAGCACTGCCACTGGGGACGACGGGGGCCACGAGACGTGCGAGGGGTGTGCCGAAATAGGTGGCGGGAACGCATGCGAGCAAAGCCATTGGGGCCTTCGATGGAGCTCCCTATGGGGCCACGAAGCGTGTGAGGGGCATGCCGAAATGGGCAGCGGGGACGCATGCGAGCACCGCCACTGAGGCTTTCGACGGAGCTGCCTATGGGGCCACGAAACGTGCGACGGGTGTGCCGACATGGGCGCGGGAAACGCACGCAAGCATTGTCATTGGGGCTTTCGGCGGAGTTCCTTATAAAAGCCACGAAGCGTGTGAGGGGTGTGCCAACATTGGTGCTGGGGACGCATGCGAGCACGGCCATTGGAGCCTTCGGTGGAGTTCCCCATGGAGCCACGAGACGTGTGAGGAGTGTGCCGACACGAACGCGGGGGACGCACGCACGCGAGCACTGCCATTGGGGCCTTCGGTGGAGCTCCCTGTGGGGCCACGAGACGTGTGATGGGTGTGCCGACATGGGTGCGGGGGACGCATGAAAACAACGCCATCGGGGCCCCCGGCGGAACTCCCCATGGGTCCACGAAGCGTGTGACGGGTGTCCCGAAATGAGCGGGGGGGGCACATGCGAATTTTGCCACTTAAGCCTTCGGTGGAACTCCCCATGGATCCACGAAGCGTGTGAAGGGTGTGCCCAAATTTTGCGGAGGGGACGCATGCGAACACCGACATTGGGACCTTAGGTTGAGCTCCCTATGAGGCCACGAAGCGTGTGAGGAGTGTTCCGGAATCGGTGCGGGGGACGCATGCGAGAACCGCCATTGGGGCTTTCGGTCGAGCTCCCTTATGGGGCCCATCAGGCCACGAAACGTGTGATGGGAGTGCCGCAATGGACACGCGGAGGGTGCAAACAGGGATGCGGGGGGGGGGAAGGAGGACGCGGAGCACTGTTCTCAATCAACCTGTGGTGGTGGGTCTTCGTTCTGAAGAGACAGCGCCCCGCGTTCCCTCACCTTCCTCCTCCCCATCCTCCCATCCCTTGCTTCTGCCCTCCGTCCACAACCATTTCGGCACACCCCTCCCACGCTTCGTGGTCCCATAAGGAAATTCACCTAAGGCCCCAGTGGTGCCGTTCGCACGAGTCCCCCAAACCCATGTCGGCACACACCACACACCTTTCGTGGCCCCATGGGGAGCTCCACCTAGGGCCCACATGGTGCCGTTCGCGTGACGGCGCCGATGGGACCTTCGGTGGAGCTCCATGTGGGGACACGACACGTGTGAGGGTGTGCCGACATGAATGGCGGGGACGCGTGCGAACGGCACCACTGGGGTTTTCGGTGGAGCTCCCTATGGAGGCACGAGACGTGGGATGGGCGTGCCGAAATGGATGGTGGGGACGCGTGCTAACGGCACCACTGGGGCCCTAGGTGGAGCTCCCTCCTAGGCCACGACACGCGCGAGGGGTGTGCCGAACGACACCAGGTGGGCCCTAGGTGGAGCTCGCTGTAGGGCCACGCAACGTGTGAGGTGTGTGTGTGTGTGCCGAAAGGGGTGGTGGGGACGCATGCGAACGGCACCATTGGGGCCTTGGGTGCAGCCCCCTATGGGGCCGCGAAGCGTGTGAGGGGTGTGTCGAAATGGGTGACGGGGACGCGTGCGAACGGCAACATTGGGGCCTTGGGTGCAGCTCCCTATGGGGCCACGAAACGTGTGAAAGGTGTGCCGAAATCGGTGGCGGGGACGCATGCGAACGGCACCATGGGGGCCTTGGGTGAAACTCCGTAAGGGGCCACGAAACGTAAGACGGATGTGCTGACATGGGTGGCGGGGACGCATGCGAACGGCACTATGGGGCCTTAAGTAGAGCTCCCTATGGAGCCCCGAAACGTGTGGGTGTGCTGACATGGGTGGCGGGGACGCATGCGAACGGCACCATAGGGGTCGTGGGTGAAGCTCCCTTTGGGGTCACGAAACGTGTGAAGGGTGTGCCGACGCACGCGTCCCCACCACCCGTTTCGGCACGCCCCTCACGCGCTTCGTGGCCCCATAGGGAGCTCCACCGATGATGATATTCACAACTGCGGCACTCACGATTGCAGATGGTTGGGCCGTTCGCCAGGCTAAGTTTTCTAAAGCGGGGACCCAATACCACATGATGGCTGGGAATTGGAAAGCCCTAGGGACATGAATGATGTTGGCCTCTCGGGGCTGTCCTGGGAAGGCCCTTGGAGTTTTTGTTTGGGGCGTCTCAAAGGCTTCTTGGGCCATCTTGGATCCACCTGGAGCGTCTTGGACCGATCGTGTGGCGGGTCGGAGCACCCTTCGGGCCGGCTCTTGGAGGCTGTTTGATACATTGTTGGCCCCTCGTGGCCCCGAGGAAGCCATGCGCCACCGCTCGGGAGAGCCCAGGGGAACCGCGCCAAGCTCTACATCTCTCCGCGAAACTTGACGCAAGTTTTTCCCGCGCCGCGTCGTCACCCCCAGACCCCCTCATTTCAATGTTGATGCCGAAACACGCGACTTGATTTTTTGTCCGTCGACGTCCGCGGACAACGCCGCGCGCGCAATTGAACATTGAAATTGGGGGCCGGAGGGTGGGGGGAACGTGCGATAAGTTTCGCGGAGGGTTGTGGGGACACCCCAGCTCGTGCCAGAGCGCACGGCGGCGGTTTGCATTTCCGTTTTTGGGGGAATGGGAAGCGGTCACAAGCTGTCCGTCGCTATTTTCGCCACGACGCGGAAGGGTGCGCGCTCGGGGGTCCAAATTTGACCCGCTGGCTTCTCCAGGAGTGCGTCGCAGGCAGAGCCTCAAGTGGCGGGGGGGGCAAAGAGTTTCGGAGGGAACCCAGCCGTGGCGACGAGAGCGCACCAGTGAGCCGAAAGATGTTTCTACAGTGGAGGCCCATGCCAGGAAATGCCCTGCTTGCCTCCAGTGTGCCCTGGGCTTCTTGGGTTTCGACGGTTCTGCGCTGGAAAGTGTGACGTTCCCACACCAAAAATCAGTGGACGTCCCGGGGTCTCAGGGTTGGGTTTCTTGTGGAAGGTTTCTTGTGGTCGAGCTCCTACTGAACTCCAGCTGTACCGTCTCGGACGGCTCCCGACGCCAGGGCCACGGCTCCCCCCCAGGCCGCGCGTACGACTCCCGCTTGATGCAGTACATCTCGCTATCCTGGCAGCCTGGCGGCGCCATTCTCGCTCGATGGGGCCGTGCAGGAAAAGGGTCGAGGGCGAGGAGGAAGAATTGCTTAGCCTCCTCCTCATCCTCATCCTCCTCCTCCTCCTCCTCCTCCTCCTCCTCCTCCTCCTCCTCCTCCTCCTCCTCACCCTCTCCGCCTCCGCCTCCTCAGCCTCCCTCCTACTCCTCCTCCTCCTCCTCCTCCTCCTCCTCCTCCTCCTCCTCCTCCTCCTCCTCCTCCTCCTCCTCATCCTCATCCTCCTCCTCCTCCTCCTCCTCCTCCTCCTCCTCCTCCTCCTCCTCCTCCTCCTGCTGCTGCTGCTGCTGCTGCTGGCACTGCTGAAATTTTGACTCCGAAGCAACCACGTGGATTGGCAAAAAGAATTGGAGGGCAACGCAGCTCAGGACGTCGCGGCACCACCAAAGCACAATCATGTTACTGAACGACGTCGGCGCACGGGTCCAGGGGGATGAAGAAGCCTTTAGCCTCTTCAGGTTCCAAATCCCCAGGTAAGCCCCCCTGGACCCCAGCAGGACAATCCTCCAGGAAACCTGCTGCAAGGAACCTACACGAAGCCGATGGGCCGATGGGTAAACTTTGAGAGGCGACGTGCGATACGACCCCGCCGCTCCTCCTCCTCCTCCTCCACCTCCTCCTCCTCCTCATCCTCCTCCTTCTCCTCCTCCTCTTCCTCCACCTTCTAATCCTCTTCCGTCGCCTCGCCCTCCCATTTCCCCAGGAAAGAGGACGCCACCCTGGGAGCATGCGCGGATGATGATGGAGTCGTGCTCGCACTTCTTGTGCTGCCACCACATCGATTTGCCACCTTCCAGCATGCCCACAGGCTTGCGGGTCCAATGCTTCAGATTGCGAAATGCATGTTCGTGCCCTTGACTGCCGAATGCGCGGTGAAGGCTGCGGCTAGAGGTGCCGCCAGAATTGCCGAACTTGTGCCAGAGTGGGCGACGCTCACTGCAGCAGGCTCTACAAAACACCTCGGGGTGATAACAGAGCCAGCCGCTGACCTCCCGCAGCAGTCGCACGAGGCTGCACAGGAAGGGTGGGCCCGCACCAGAGCGATGGCGATGCCGCGAGCCTCCGGCGAAGCGGCCATCCGATGGTATGCGGACGCGCGTGCGTGTCCGTGCTCGGACATCTGGCCCGTTGCTCCTCTGTGCGAGGAGATGCGGCGCAGAGAAAAGAGCACGCTCTCCGCAGGCTCCTTCCGGCCCTCCCCCCGAGGCCCCCGAGGCCCCCCCAACCAATCCCCCCCGAGCGACGGCCCCCCGATCGGCCGCTCGAGCCGTCGCCTGGCAGGACCCCCGCGCTTTGCTCGCGAGCTCCGAGCGCGAGCCGCCCGCGGAGGCGCGGACCTCCCCGGATTGCCACGTCGGACCGCAGGCGCCGCCCCGCGGGACAGCCGAGCGCTTCGGACCCCCGCGCGCAGGGCCCCAGGGGCGCCGCGGAGGCCGCGGAGCGCCGACGAGGCCCCGAGCAGGAAGCGGGCGCCGCGGGCGGGCCCCTCGGCAGCGAGCCGCGCCCCAGGCGCAGCTCGGCAGCGAGCCGCGCCCCAGGCGCCGACAGAGAGCGCCTGGGGGGGGAGGGGATCGACTGCCCCAAAACTGACCTTCTCGTCGAGGCATACGCAGGACGCTCGCAGGTCTGCGAACCTTCTGCGGGTTTCTCATGGGCTCGACGAAGACATGAAGCTTGGGGTACCGTCAGCCCGCATGGTGAGGATGGGCAACCTTCCCAAGGGTACCTTTGCATCCTTGCCTCATCGGTCCATCCTTGGCCACTCTCGTTGGCCGCGCCCCGCTCGAAAAGCTCCGAACTGTGCGCCCAGGGTCCTTGCATCCTCATCATGCATCCTTCTGATACGGGCCGACGGTGCATCAAGTCAATCATGTAGTCGATCCCCTGCTCGACGACCGCGCAGTTGCGGCGCCCACTCGGCCAGCGGAGACCTCCCACCCTCGGCAAAAAGAAGTGCCACCACCGAGGGCTCGGCAGAAAGGGCGGCGGCGCGCCGCCCGAGAGCAGCATGCGCCCCCGCCCCCGCGCACGTTGGGGGGGCCCGCCGTCAGAGAGAAGTGCCCCGCCCTCTCGGGGGCCGCGCCGCGTTGCGCCGAGCGTCGAAGAGCGAAAAACGGCACAAACATGCAGTGGAGACCCGTGCCAAGAAAAACACCCTGCTTGCCTCCAGAGTGCCATGGGCTTCTTGGATTTCGACGGTCTTGCCCTGGAAAGCGTGACGTTCCCACGCCAAAAATCAATGGAGGTCCCGGGGTCTCCGGGTCGGGTTTCTTGTGGAAGGTTTCGTGTGGACTGACCTCCATTGTAAACTTTCGACGGCCCGCGCGGATTTCTTGGATCTGCGCTGGGGCCCCCTGGCGGCGCCCCCAGCGCCGCCCCCTCGCACCCTCCGCGCGCCAAGGAGGGGGGCCCCGTCTCAGCTCCAGGAAGTCCGCGCGGAGCGCCAAAAGTTTACGCTCGTGCCGCTCTCTGTTCCCGCGAAGCGGCCCCCGCCCGCGGGAGCGGAGTCCATCGCATGCTCGGCTGGCTCGCCATGCGGGGCCCCCCACCGGTTCCGCGCGGCACGCGCCCGCAGCGAGAGCGCCCCCGGGCCCGGACGCGGGCTCCTCCCGGGGAGCCTGGCGCGCAGCTGGTCTCGGGGGGCTCCCAAACGGGGTGGTGACCACACCGTGTGGTGAGTCGGTGGGGATTCGGGGTCACCGCACGGTTTCGGGACTTGGGTCGTTCTCCGAGGATGTCTCGGGCGACTGGAGCCTCCAGGGTCCCAAAACCGTGTGGTGACGGACCGTGCGGTGAGGTCTTTGCGGATTTCGAGGTCACCGCCGGGTCTGTCACCACACGGTTTTGGGACACCCAATGGTCCGCGCCCGCTGTGCAAGGCTGTGGTTTGGGTGGTCCAGAGGGGCTGCCCACTCTTCGGCGGTGTCTCCTTAGGCGTTCGGTCTCTTTGAGCTGTTCTTCAAAAACGCTGGGGCTGTTTTTTGGTCCGTTGTCCATGTTTCGTGTTGCGGCCGACAAAAAGATAGAAAAAACGGCAACCCAAAACATAACAGAAACGACGCCGACCGGGCGAAAAACGACCGAAAAACGGCAACCCAAAACAGCAAAAAGAATAAAACGGCCACCCAAAACAGAAAACAATTGACAGAAACGGGAAAACCAAAAAAATTCTGTTCAAATCATTTAGAAAACGGATCGCAAAACGGACCAAAGACGGCAAAACGGTAATCCCAACACGGATGAGAAAATAATTCAAAAACAGAAAATCGTCGATCTTGAGAACGGAAAAAAAAAACACCCCCAGCGTTTGGGACCGATCCGATGGGCCAGACGGCCTGCGCCGCTTGCGGCAGATAGCCAACCGCTATGCCTCCATGACACTTGCAACAAGGTGGCCGCCACCATTTCGAACGGATGCATCGCGCCCGCTACCCAGGTCGTTGCCTATACAGCGCGCAACGCGGATCTGTGGCCAGGCGCAATTGCGCAAAGAATATTGTTGAACACGGCACTGCGTCGAGTTCGGCCTCGATCCGCGCCGCTGGTGCCCCCCGCCCGCACAACTGCCCCCCGCCGCTCCTATCCTTCGACGTCGGCCAAGCCTTCGCCGCGGCGCTTCGGGCCTGGGCGCCGCCCACTCTCGAGATCGATCGATGCCCGCGTGGGCTCTGCCAGGGCGCTGCGACCTTCTGCAAATCTGACCCGCGCCACTCGGATGCAGGAGCGCAGGTGCGCCAGCGTGGCGCGCGCGGAAGCGCGGCAGGGGCGCACACCCCTGCAGGGCCCCTTTCCGCGCGCGCGCCGCCCACCTCATTTCGCAAGACCTCGAGCGAGGCAAGCCACGGGAAGCCACGCGGGCGCGCGCCGATGGCGCGCGGGCCGCTGCGTGGCGCGCGTCCTCGCTCTTGGCATCGCTCGGACGTGTGCGTTTTTTTCCTCGGCGAGGACCATCGAGGAGCATCCTTGATCATTTGACGAAAAAACCACGCACGACACCAAAAAAACACAGGGAATGGACGTCCGAGCGATGGCGAGCGCTCGCGCGCTTTTACAAACCCCCCCATGGAGAGCTTCCGACATGCAGCGCCGCGCCGCTCGGAGCTCCGCTGAGCGACGGCAGCCGCGCCCACTCGTCGAGCGCCCTCGCCGGGGCCAAAGTGCGATTGGAGCGGGTTTCATGTCGTCGACAAGCGCGGTCCTCTTGGAGCGCCGCTGGGACCAACCGCGGCAGACTGCGACCAGCGGGCCGCCCCTCTCTCGAAGGCGCGCGACCGCCGCGGTCGCCACTGCAGGAGCCGCCCGCCGCTCCTCCGCGCCAATTGCGCGCGCAGCCTCACGGCCATGCCGCGCAAGGGAGCTGTCTGGTGGCATCCGCGCCAATTGCGCGCGCAGCCTCGCGGCCAGGCCGCGCAAGAGAGCTGCCTGGCGGCTCGACTGCGGGCCGTGCCAGGACGCGCGCTCGGCCGCGAAGGTCGGCTCGGCCCCTGCGAGCGGGGCCCCCCCCCCAGATGCCGCGCCTCGCGGAAGCCAGCCGGCGCAGGGGCGCGCACCGTGCACCCCATGGAGGCCGCCCCGAGGCGCGGCGGCTCGGAGGCGCTGCGAGCGTCTCGGGCGGGGCGGCGCCGGGCTCCGAGGGGCGAGCCTCGGCGGGAGGGGCAGCTTCGAGGGATCTTCGAGGCCGCGCTGCCCCCTCGCCGCGCGCGGCTCGGGGCCGGGATCGCGGATCCTATTTGGCGCTTCTGCGTCTTACCCCCCCGGCCCTGGCCCAGGTGGCGATGCGGACCTGGCCTGGCGCATGGGCAAGTGGCGCTCGCGCGCAGGGAACGGAAGGCGCGGCTGCGCTTTGGGGGCGAAGATAAAGCTGGCAGCAGCTCGCATAACATGTAGATTGCTCGCGTATGAAGTGGGCGGTTAGCCTCGCCCTCCGCTATTGGCCCCCGTCCGACCGCTTCTTTTTATTAGTAGTGGCAGTCTGTTGAGTATGCTTCTTATGATTGGCACCATGAGTAGCATTCATAGTGTCATTCGTAGTATTCTCCTTAATCTCATCATTCGCATCAGTGTTATTATTCCTTGGCCTCGAAGGCAGCCGTGTCGCTCGGGCTGCGCATCCCGTCACAGTGCATCATGTTGTCAGGACTGTTGCATCATTGTCTGCAGACTTTCCCGCTTCCTCTCGGGCAAGCCCAGGCACGGGTCGACCCCGCGCGCGCCGCGACCAGGTTGTTTGCGCGCGGCCGCAGGAGACGGCTTCTCGATAGCGTGGCTCTTGACGATTTGGGTACATCTTTTTTATCTGCGGGGCGAGAGCGAACCTCTTCCGCTAAAAGCTAGGCGGGCTACGCGCAGCTTTAATTAGGGAGGCAGGGCGCAGGAAGGCGGACGACTTGGGTGCACGAGGGATGCCTTTTTCCGGCCACGCTCCGCCTCCTCCTGGAGAAGGCGGCGAGAGCACAGGTTATCACAGGAGGCAGGGCGCGGGGCGCGCCTGGGCGCAACAGGGGGGGGCGCGAGGACCTCGACAACGCCCCTGCCTCCCTGGGGCCCCGTTGATGCTGGCCTGGACGACCTCCGGGCGGCGCCCCCTTCCCTCCTCCTCGCCGCCCAGGGCCGCCGGGGCCGCCGGGGCCCCTCGCTGGCCCCGGGGCCGTCAAGAGAAGTGCCGTGGAGACCCGTGCCAGGAAGCACCCTGCTGGCCTCCAGGGTGCCCTGGGTTTCCTGGGTTTCGATGGTTCTGCGGCGGCAAGCGCGGCGCTCCCGCGCCACAAATCCCTGGGACGTCCCGGGGTCTCGGGGCCGGGTCTCTTGTGGGAGGTCTCCTGTGGGCTGGCCCCCAGTGCACACGGGATGAAGAAAACTAGCCCGGGGGTCAGGGTCGGGACTTCCCGGGGCCTCGCGTTGGAAGCCTCGAACACGTGGGTTTGCGCGCCATTGCAAGCCTCGCCCAGCCCCCGTCGGCCCCCGCCGCGCCCTGAAGGCTGCACGCCGCGGGGTGTCCCTTCCCGGCCCCTGACCCCTCTCGCGAGCCGAGCCTTTCAGGAGGGAAAAAACACACAGACACAATGAATCGTCGATCCCTAGAAAAATATAGGAAAATATGGGAAGTGGGGGGGAAGACAAAAACCCAGAAAAGGTAGGAAAATATAGGGAATCCTATCATTTGTGTGTATTTGTTTGCGTGTCCCAGGGCCCCTTCAGCCTTGCCTCGCAGCGAGGGGCGCGAGGCACCGGCTTGCCCGAGCGCCTGGGGCGAGTGGGGAGGGGCAGAGGGGGGCGGGGGGAGGCGAGTTGCAACGCCGCCAAGACGAGGGCCAGCAGAAAAAGGAACAGCAGCAACAACAACAACAACAACAGCAGCAACAACAGCAGCAACAGCAACAGCAATTGCAATAACAGCAACATTATCAACAACAACAACAATATCAACAACAACAACAACAACAACAACAATCATTTTACCCGAACGCGTGGTGTTCTCCCCAGTGCCAGGGCTTTCATACGACACCAGGCAATACCCCCACTTCGTGGGGGGGCATTACAAGCTCTACCAAATATCCAAACGACTCTTCGCGACCACCCAAACCCAGCTTCCCGCCCTATGACGTTGGGACACTTCACTTCGTGGCGTGCGGACGACCGTGGCTACACACTGGCGTGGGGTACACACCCACAGAACCCAATGGTTTTTGGAGATTTCGGCGTGCGCGCGCGAAGAAAAAACGAATGTGTCCCGCATGGTATTATTTGACAGGGATGATGGCCCTGGCAGGTGCGCAACCGTTGTCGCAGAAGTTCGAAAAAGTTGCTCGCAAAAGCCCGTTTGACAGAAATGTTTAAAAAGTGTTGGGTTTCCTACGAATCCGCAAGAGCGCGCGGGATGAGATTTTGACATTTTTTTGTTGAAAAACCATTGGTTTTTTGATGTTTTTATGTTAAAATCGCTCCGAACACTAAGCTTTTGGAAGGATTTCGTCTTGCGCGCGCGAATGTCCACTTTACCTTATTTTTTGCAAGGGATTCTTGAAATTTGATTACATTGAACAAGAAATGTCATTTTATAGTGTTTTTTGCAAGGGAAAGCGGGGGGGAACAAAACAACCGGATCTTGATCACATCGAATTACCTGAGGCTTCCTCACGAAAATGATGAAAATGTAGCTGCGGCCTAGGCGGCGCAGGGGGGCGTGCACCAGGGGCCCAACAATAATTATTCTTTAGAATTAATAATGTTCAACAACAACAACAACAACAATCACTTTACCCGAACGCTCAGTGTTCTCACCAGTGCCAGGGTTTTCATGCGACGCCAGCCAATACCCCCACTTTGTGGGGGGGCAGTGCAAGCTCTACCAAATATCCACACGACTCTTCGCCACCACCCACACCCAGCTTCCCGCCCTATGACGTTCGGACACTTCACTTCGTGGCCTGCGGACGACCGTGGCTACTACACTGGCGTGGAGTACACACCCACAGAAGTTGTTAAGCCTACGTTCGATTCGGACAGCGCGCGCGGGTAGAAATTTTGAAAAGTCGTGCAGGTGTTTTTCGAGGACCTACGGTGCGATTCGTGTGATTTTATGATGCGCGGTGGTAAAATTCTTAAGAACCCAATGGTTTTTGGAGATTTCGGCGTGCGCGCGCGAAGAAAAAACGAATGTGTCCCGCATGGTATTATTTGACAGGGATGATGGCCCTGGCAGGTGCGCAACCGTTGTCGCAGAAGTTCGAAAAAGTTGCTCGCAAAAGCCCGTTTGACAGAAATGTTTAAAAAGTGTTGGGTTTCCTACGAATCCGCAAGAGCGCGCGGGATGAGATTTTGACATTTTTTTGTTGAAAAACCATTGGTTTTTTGATGTTTTTATGTTAAAATCGCTCCGAACACTAAGCTTTTGGAAGGATTTCGTCTTGCGCGCGCGAATGTCCACTTTACCTTATTTTTTGCAAGGGATTCTTGAAATTTGATTATATTAGAACAAGAAATGTCATTTTATAGTGTTTTTTGCAAGGGAAAGCGGGGGGGAACAAAACAACCGGATCTTGATCACATCGAATTACCTGAGGCTTCCTCACGAAAATGATGAAAATGTAGCTGCGGCCTAGGCGGCGCAGGGGGGCCGTGCACCAGGGGTCCCAACAATAATTATTCTTTAGAATTAATAATGTTCAACACCAGCAGCAGCAGCAACGACGACGACGACGACGACAACAGCAACAAGAACAACAACAGGACGGGGGCAAGGAGGAGGAGGAGGGCGAGGAGGAGCGGTAGGAGTAGGGCGGGAGGAGGCAAAGGAATAGGAGGAGGTGGAGGAGGAGGGCGAGGAGGAGGAGGAGGAGGAGGAGGGCTGGGAGAAGGTGGAAGATTGGCGCGAAGGGCGACGGTGCGGATGAGGTGGACAAGGAGGAGGACGGGGAGGGGAGGGGGGAGGTCTACGAGGAAATCAAGAATGTTGATCCTCGGGAGGGGAAAATGAGGAGGACAAGCAGGAGCAGCTGCAGCGGAGGGGAGAGGGGGAGGGAGGAGTGTCGCAGATGGCGGTTTGCAGGGCCGCCCCATTCCTCACCCCCGGGCACCCCCAGCGGCCTCTGGCTTCCACGGGCCCCAAAAATGGCCAGCAGCGCCCAGGATGTTCCATCTTCGAGCGCCGCAGGAGGCAGGGTGTGGTATTTTTTGGGGGCCGGCCTTCCTCCGCCTCTCGTTCCCCCGCCCCGCTCGTAGCCCGCAACGCTTCAAGGCATCGCTTGCAGGCACCACTGCACGGTTCAGATAAAGGGCACCGCACCGTTTCGCGGCCTGCTTGCCGAGGCCTCCAACGCCGCGATCAGTTCAGAACGCGGAGTTCCTGGGGTAAGCTGTTTTTTCATCCCGGTTCATTTCGAGGGCTCCGTGGCACAGCAGGGCCCCCCCTGGAACCAAGAACAAAAAAACGGCAAACACGGGTTGTTGCACGACGCGACGAGGCACCGAATCTCCAGATTGGCCCCCTCGCTGGGGGTCCGCGGGTCGCAAGAGTCCGACGGCGAGGAGGACGGCGGCGCCGCCTGGCGGCAGATCTTGCTGCCCGACCTGGAAGGTCACCGGACAGGAGACGGGGCGCAGTCTCGAAGGCCCAGGCGATGGAGATAGCAGTGCGGAGGTTTCTCGCCGTGTTGGGCCCGGGGGTCATCGCTGGGCCCCGGGGCCGTCAAGAAAACGTCTCGGAGTTGAATTGCGATCGCTGCCCTGTTGCAACAGGCAACAGAAGCTGATGAAGCAAGACAGCCATCCAGACAAAGTTGGGTAGATTACATGTTGGCCCGTGTGGGGGGGAACATAATATCTTTAGCAACGATATTATTAAAATATAGTTCTGCATGGCAGTAAATCGGAGTGAAGAGGTTGCCCTGGGGAGCAGGGGGCGCGACTTCCAGGGACCCCATGTAGGAAGAATCAGGGCAGCGGACCCCAGGGTAATGGACGCGACGGAGGTGAGCGCTGATGGCGTCAGCCAGTCACCTCCGAGCCACGTGGAGCCGACGCCCCTATTTCCGCCCTCCGCTGGTCTGGGAGCTGCTGTGCGGACGTGTCGGGCTCGCGACGTGGCCCTGGCTGGCCCGTGCTGGCACGCCCCCGAAGCTTGGGGAGCGAAGCCTTCGGGTGCGTATCTGCTGCACGTTCGAACGCTCTGGGGCCTTGCCGGGCCGCCGGGCGCTGCATCCAGAGAGGACTTCTGGGGGCCTCCGCGGACTTTCTGGGCAGCCCCGTCCGCCCTCGGGAGGCCCCCCGCCGCCCAGATCTCCAGAGACTCGAACGAGCAGATGCGCTGGGAGGTTTCCAGCAGCTTTGTCTGGAGGCCGTTCCCGGATGGGGCCTGGGCGAGGCGAATTCCGTCCCAGAGCTTTCCGGAACGCTCTCAGAGCGTTCCGGAACGCTCTGGGAAGGCCGCGGCGCCCGGGACATCCTCCAGAGCCGCGGGACCTCAGAGATGCTCGATTGAGCCTGACCCGATGTCAGCCTCGCCCTGGCTTCGTCCAACGTTCCCAGGCCCCGTGAGGGTCAGAAGACGAGCCGGGGTGCAGACGCTGGTCCCAGAGAGGGGTCGAGAGGTCCAGGGGCTGGCAGCTGGAGAAGTTCGGGTCGTCGGAGGTCTGGGTCCCCGGAGATGCGCCTCTTGGGGGCCTCTTGGGGCCTCCTGGGGGCCTCTTAGGGACCTCTGGGAGGCAATTTTGAGGCCTCTTGGGGGCCGTGTTGGGGCCTCTTGGGGGCCTCTCGGGGCTTCTTGGGGTGCCTCTTGGGGGCCCCTTGGGGCCTCTTGGGGGCCTCTTGGGGCCTCGGGGGCCTCTTGGGACTGAAGGCTGGACTTTTCGGTTCCTGGTCCCATCTTGGGCCCCTCTTGGGGCAGTTTGGGGGCCCTCTTGGGCCATATTGGGCGCCTCTTCGGCTGTCTTGGGGCCATCTTGGGCAGTCTTGGGGCCCTCTTGGAGGCTTCTTGGGCCGTCTTGGAGCCATTTGTGAGGCTTCTTGGGCCGTCTTGGAGCATTGGGAAGCCGAAAAAGCGAGAAGGCCAAAATCTGACAAAAGCCATCGTAAAAATAACGATTTCGGCCTCTCAGGGCCCTCTTGAAGCTCTCGCTTGAGGCCTCCTGGTGGCCTCTTCGGGGGTCTTGCACGCGCCGTGGGCCGTCTGGAAGCCATCGTGGATGTCTCGGGCCATCTGGAGACCGTCTTAAGCGTGTTGGAACGATCTTTCGGCGACTCGGGGCCTCTTGGGCCGTGCAGAGGGTGTCCCGGCGCCCTCTTGGCGCGCTCCTGGAGCGCCTTGCGGGAGTCAGCCGGGCATCGCCCAGGCATCGCCCGTGCATCGCCCAGGGTACTTTTCGTCCAGGGGTCCCCAGGGGCCGCCACGCGCGCGCGAACTAGAAATATGATTGTTAACCTGTTCCGGAGATCTTAGAACGCCTCTGGCCCGTTGGGCTGGCGAATTCTCTGGGAGTGCCTGAACCCAATGAACTTTGTCCGCCTTCCTACTTCATGTCGTTACTTAGTTACTTCTCCCGACCGGCGTGTAGCCTGGCGAAGGGCCCAACCTTGTGCAGTTGCGCGTAGCGCACGGCATGGCAGTTCTCGGCCCTGCTGCGCCGCCAGCCCCCAGCAGTCTGCGCTGCACGGCGGCTTGGGCGCGAATTAGTTAGTGGTGGGGCGACAGACGGGGGGTGGGGGGAGGGAAGGTGCCCTTCTCGGCCCCTGAGGGCCCACTTTCCGAGGCCCTGGAGCGCCCCTCTAGGGCCTCTGAAGGGCCCCTTTTCTGCAGCCCTCGCTGCGCCCCCCATCTATCACCCCCCCCATGTATCGCCGCCCAAGCGGTGGCGAGCGAGACAGGGAGGAGACGAGAAGCAAGCGCACGACGACGAACGCACAGGTGGGAAGCCAGGGCTGGCAGGACGAAGCAGGCGGGCGGGCGGGCTCGCCAGAATTTGCACAGGGAAGACAGGAAGCAGCGAGCAGAGGAGGAGAGGGCGAGGGGCAAGGAGAAGGGCGAGGAGCAGAGGAGGAGAGGGCGAGGAGCAGAGGAGGAGAGGAGGAGAGGGCGAGGAGCAGAGGAGGAGAGGGCGAAGGGCAAGGAGGAAGATGGGAAGGGGCAGGGGAAGGGAGCGCCCGCCAGCAAGCAGGCAGGGCCAGGGGGCCCAGAGAGAGGAGCTGCCCGCGACGAAATTGCGGATCTCATCACGGCAACAGCGTCCAGGCGGAGCCCGATCCGCGTCAGGAACGAGCTTGCATGAAAGGGGGCACTACGCGAACGCACCCGCTGGGGCCGTAATTGGGCACGATCCGCAGCCGGGGTGTGCCGAGATGTGCGGGGCGATGTCATGCGAGCGCCCGCATTGGGGCCGTGGGTAGAGGTCCCTATGGGATACGATCCTCCCGAAGAGTGTGCCAAAATGGGCGCCGTGGCCGCAAGTGGATCCCCCTATTGATCACGATCCGCTCGACGGGTGTGCCGAAATGGGCGGGCGACGCCATGCGGCCGCCCTCATTGGAGCCGCAGGTGGAGCCCCCGAGGGGCCGCGATCCGAGCGTGGAGAATGCCGAAGTGGGCGGCGCAGTGCTACGGAACTCGTTCGCCGGGCTCGTGGAACCCCCTTCTGGAGGGGCGATCCGCGCGGGGTCTGTGCCGAGGTGGGCAGGGGGGGGCGAGCGCCCCCGGTGAGGCCGTATAGGTGGAGTTCCCCGTGGGGCACGATCCGCCTGTGTGCCGAGGTGGGCGGGATGACGTCAGGCGAGCGCCCCGGCTGGGGCCGTAGGTGGAGCCCCCCGCGCAGCACGAAGCGTGCAACATGCGAACGCCTGCCTGGGGCCGCCAGGGGAGCTCCCTGTCGGGCGCGCAGTGTGTGGGGGGGGGGAGTGAGCTGCCGAAGGGGGGCGGGGCTGCGCTATGCAAACGTCTTCAGGGGCGCCGCATGTGGAGCTACCTAGGGGCACGAAGCTTGTGAGGGCGGCGCCGAGCTGGGCGCGGGCAGGGAGAGGAGGGGGAGGAGGGGGAGGAGGGGACGGGAGGGGGGAGGAGGAAGAGGGAAGGACGGGGCGCGCGGCGCTGTGAACTCTGAACGAGGATCGGCGGCGAGCGAGGGGGGGGAGTGAGGAGGAGAAGGTTCTCTCAGAAGGCGGCGGGGCTTCTCAGAAGCCCTCCGGCCTTCTGCGAAGTGCTCTGCGTCTTCGGGGAATCTCAGAACACGTTTCCGAAGGCCCGGGGACGTCCGAGCCTTCTGTGAAGGCCCGCTCCCTCTCACTTTCCCCCAGGCTGGCCGCCGAGGGGACCCCCAGCACCGCCCCTGAGGTCTGGGCGTTGCACTTTTTTCCGAGGCGGGCCTTTCCGCCCGGCCGGTGTCGGGCCCGGGGACCCTCAGATCGACGCAGCTCGAAGCATAACGCGGAAAGATGGGGCCCGGGGCTCTGGTCGTGACCTTCTGCGAAGCTGCTTTTGTTGTTCCCAGCGTCGGATCTCCGGGACCGGAGGCTGGAAGAGATCACGCCGGCGGGGCTGGCGCTGCGACAAGGATGCAACACCGCAAGAAGTCACTCGGGGCTGGACGGAACCCCCAACAGTGACAGTGACACGTCGATGAGTGGATTGTCCGTGTTCGGTTCTCGAGAGGGCGCCGTGGCCGTCATTTTCCAGGCCTGCGCCCGCCAGGTTTGGGCCTCGGGTCGTTTTCACTAAACCGTACGTTTTGCGAAAGGGGGGCCTGTCCGTCCCCGAGTCGCGACCAGCGCCCCGGACCCCATCGTTCCGCGCCACCTCTCGAGCTGCGTCGAGCTGCGAGGGCCCGTCGGGGCCCCACGCCCAGCGGAAGGGCCCGGCTCGCGGAGAGAGGGCCACGCCGGCGTCGGCTGGACGCAAGGGGTTGGCCTTTCGCCGGAGGGGCCTGTGGGTGCGGGCCCCACTGGGCGCCCGAAGTGGGTACTCCAGACTTCGTAATCAAGGGAGGGGGGTCTCATTTCGGGGGGGGTCTCTTCCAGGCTATCTTGGAGGGCCTGGGGGGTCTGGGGGCGATGTTTTGGAGGGTTCTCCCACGGGGGAGGTCTGAAATGGCTTGTCTTGGAGGGTCCAGGCCCCCTCCCTTTTATTACGAAATCTGGAGTGCGGAAAGAATGGGTACAATGCCCAACAGCAGCTCCTGTTCATTTTGAACAGGATTTGCTGTCCACGCTGCCGCGGCCTGTGTCCATTCGAGACAGAAGGCCGCCTGCCCAGCAGCGGCCGCTGTTGGTTTGGGACAACATTTGTTGTTGGGCATTGTACCCACTTTTTCCGTACCCATTCCGGGCATCCAAACCAACGGGGTCCCCCGATCGCCGAACGCGATGCGATAGTAGCGTCTTGCGCGCTTATGATGGACCCCCCCGCGGCCCCCAGAAAGCCGCGCACCAAAGGTCACTCTTACCCAGGGTCACTCTTGCGTGCAGCGCCGGGAGCTCAGGCAGAGGCTGGCAAAAAAAGCACGCCAGGCGGCCTGCTCGCCCGGACGGGGCCCTCACGGACCGCTCGGGGCCCGGCTGCCTTCCCTCAGGCAGCGGCGAAGCATCCTGGCGTGCCTATAGTCCTACCGGACAATGTTCTAAGAAGTGTTTGTGGCTCCCACGACATGTTCTTAGAACATGTCTGGTTGGGACTGCCTTGTTCTATCACATCGGGCTTCTGTTCTAAGAACATTGTTTTTATTCTTAGGACATGTCTGCTTCTAAGAACATTTCGTCGTAGGACTATAGGAATGCCGGGACGGTCGGTCCCTGCTCAATTCCTGGCCGCAGGGGCGGCGGGCGGTCCCCAGGCGGCCTGGGCGGGAGGGGAGAGGCCTCCTCCCGGGGCGGCCGACAGGGGTACCTCCTCGAGGGGGCTTCCTCTCGGGGGGCGACGGGGGCCTCGAGGAGACCTCCTCTCGGGGGCGCCTCCTCGAGGGGGGCCTCCTCGGGGGGGCCCCCCTCTCGGGGAGGACGGGGGAGGCCTCCTCTCGAGGGGCTCCCTCTCGGGGCGATCGAGGGGGGTGCGGGGAGAGCGGGCACAAAGACCGACGGCAGGTCCTGCCCGTCTTGAACTCTAGGATGAAGTCGGGCATGTCCCTCTACAGGAGGAATATGACAGATCGTCAAAAAATAGTCTGGGGACGGTGTTTTGACTTTTTGCTAATGTGGAGTAGGTTTGGCTCTTTTTAATATGTCTTCCAAAATCCGCCTGTAGGAGAACATGCCCGACCTAACTCTTGGACTCCCAGGTGGGGTCGGAGCAGATGAGGTCGGAGGATCGCGCCGCATCGCCGATGCGGCTCGATGCGGAGCCCGATTTGTCTTCACGTCGACGTTGCCAATGCATCGCCGACGTCGACGATGTATAGCCGGTGCATCGCCGGTACATCGCCGTTACATCGCCGATGTAGCGGCCATGCGGCGCGACCCTCCGACCCATCTACTCCGACCCAATTCAAGAGGCCTCTCAAGACCGCCAACATTTCCTGACCGTCTTGAACACGACTCGCTGTCGGTGTTGCCGCGGACGGTGTCCCACTTGAGACGGAAGGCTGCCTGCCCAGCAGCGGCCGCCGTCGCTGCTGGACAGCACTTGCGCGACAAAGAACAGCGGGGTCGTCTGCACCGACGTCGGCGCGCAAGCTTCCCGCGCAGGGTCGCGCGCGAGCGCCCTCTCGTTTCCGGCGTGGCGTGCCGCACGGGCGGCCCGCGCAAGCCGCCGCGCCAGGTCGCTGTGCCGTTTCGCGTCAGGCCCTCGTGTTTCGTCGCTCATCTGTTCCGTACCCGCCTCGGAAGTCTTCCGCCTCTGAGTGCCCCCTCTCCTCCCTTTTCCTCCGCTGCCGCCGCGTCTGTCCCAGTCTCCTCTTCCTGCGCGCTGGGCCATTCCCTCTTCGGTCCCCCCGTTTCGCCCGACCGCTGGTGCGGCAGGTCTGCCTCGCCGCCGACGCACAAAGTTCCGCACCCACTTCGGGCGTCCAGATCCTCGACGGTGGAGGCATGCGTTAAGGAATGTGCCCAGGGGGCTCCAGACCCTGGGGGCTCCCTCATCTCATCAGGGCGGCGGTGATGCCCATGGCCAATCCACGACCGAAGTTCCACTGGCTTCGAGGCCCTGGATTCCTGAGCCATTGGTTCCTTCTCCCATGCCATCTCGGTAGCACGGCCTGGCGGGGGGGCCTCCTCTGAGAAGGGCCGGGGCGGGGCCTCCCGAGGAGCCGCCTGCCGCGACGGCCGGGAGTGGCCGGGGCCGCAGCGGGGCCGCGGGCCGGCCGGCGCACCAACGTCGCGGGGCTCCCATTGGTCGGTTGCGGTCTAGGCGACGCGGCCCAGGCGCGTCCAGTGCCCAGGCATGGCCCATCTTGGGCCGAGGAGTGGTGCATACACATGGTTAATTTCTAAGTCTTCGGAAGTTCTTTGATTTTTCGGGGGGCCAAGATCCTTTCATTTCTAATTGTTCTATCCTGGGCCTCTTCCTGGCCACTAGGGGGCCAGGAACAATAAGCAACGAGCACAATTCGAAATGAACACGATGAGAAATGAACGACGTGTACGCTCTCCTGGCCTGGCCAGGGATGCATGTGCACCGCCCCCTGGGCCCAGCACGGGCCAGGCCTCGTGCAGTGGATGTGTGTGGGCTTCGCTGCCCTGTAGATCAGGGTGGCCTTTCGCCAGAGCGACCTTTGGCGCGGGCCCACAGGGGTGGGCTGTCTTGGAGGCCTCTTGTATCGTCTTGGGGCCCTCTGGGGCGGTTTTGGCCCCTCTTGGGGGCCTCTTGGGCTGTCTTGGGGCGATCTGGGGGGCCTCTTGGGCCGCTTCCCCCCTCGGAAGCCACGATCCTCGTGAGGGGTGTCGAGAAATTACCCCCCCCTGGAGCTTTCTGGGGGACCTGGCCGGGGATCGGCCCGGGTATTTTTCGTCCGGGAACACCCAGGGGCCGCCACGCGCGCGCGCGAAGTAGAATATTGTTAAACAGATACCAGAGATCTTAGCACGCCTCTGGCATGTTGGGCCGGCGAATTTCTAGCGATCTTGGATGCCATCGTAAGCTCTCGGGGCCCTTGGGCTATAAGGGACCGTCTGACACCTCGCGACCTTCCCCCCCTTCAGACCCAGGGGGGGAGGGGGAGAAGGACCCCCCTCCCAGAAGGTGAGGAAGGGGATTTGCAGAACGAGCTCGTTAGACCACTCACTCGCAGAGGGCTGGTGGGATTCAGAGCACGCGAGTCTGGGGTGGTAACCAGCCCTCCTCCCCCATCCTCCTCCTCCGCCTCCGCCTGTCCACTGTCCTCTGCCATGCGCTGGGCCCCCAGAGGGATCCCCCACATGATCCCCGCCTCCTGCCCCTCCTCCTCGTCCTCCTCGGTACCCTCCCCCTCCTCCTCGACAGCCTCCTCTTCCCCTTGCCCCTCACCCCCCTCGATATCCTCCCCCATCCCCCCCCCACCTCCCCTCCCCCTGCCGATCGCCCGTCGCCCCTGGAGCGCTGCGGGGGGCCGCCCGCCGAGGCTGCCCCTGGAGTGAGGGAGGGCCCT